TTCCAGCTACTTGGAAGGCTGAGGCGGAAGGATCACTGGAGCCCAGCAGGTCGAGGCTGCGGTGGCCGGGAGTACCAGTCTGGGTGACTGAGTGAGACTCCAAGTCAAAAAATAAAAAATAAAAATAAAAAATATAAAAAGAAAGAGTAATATACACTGTTAGTAAAGATCACATGTGACCAGCAAAGCCTAGAATATTATCTGGCCTTTCACAGAAAATTTTACCAATCCCTGCTATAAATGGTTGGGAACCACCAAAGGGATTTAGGAACGAATGAGATATGTTCAATTGTTTTAGGATGATCATTCTGGCAGTTCTGTGGACATAACTATAGACAGATGAGAAAGTAGAAGAGTATACTACAACAGTAATGTGATATGACAAGATCCTAAATAAGGACAACATAGAGGGAATAACTGATAGGGACTTTGTACCTGCTTGGCTGGGGAGAATGAGGAGGAAAGAAACAGCCAAGGCATGCAAGCTGACTGAGGAGATGGAAGTTGAAGCTATTAAAGAAAGTTGAAAATCAGAAAGAGTAGGTTTACCAGATGAAGCTAATATGCATGAGAGGCCTAATAAAAATCCAGTTTGCAGCATAAGACTCTGAAGACAAAGTACAATACTGTACGTATACTGAATGAATATCTGGTGAATGACTTGACAGGGCAAACAAATTTACTAAATTTTTTCTGATTTATTCCCAAAACTCTGTTGTATAAGGTTCTCATACTGATTCTAACTCATACCTTAGAAGGAGGTGGTGCAGGCTTAGGAACCAGGTTCTTATAGACACTTGGAACCATGGATGACGATTTGTTCCCATTTGCATGGTGAGATCCTTGTAAGGTGAATGCAGCAGAAAAGGCAGCAGCAGGATCCTCTTTGGAAATTTTTTTGATAACTAGCATCTTGGAGGGTTGCTTGGCACTAGGTGGGTTTTCTGGGAAATATAATAGTGGAGAGGCAAAAGAATGTCAAACCTGTTGTGCAACATGAAGCAGTTTATACAAAGGCCTCACTTTCAACAAAGAGCTGACAGTTGAGACAGGGATAAACATTTCCTGGTGTGTACCTAGTAGATATACTCAAAAGTGAGACTACTTGAGAACTGTAGGAAAAAAGGCAGCGTACGCAGCACTCGATACTAAACTCATAAATCAGTCAGAAAGTCAAAAGATGTTAGCAGTTCCTCAGGGGCCCAGCATGTCTAATATATAGATCAATCAGGCATGAACCAAATAAGAATATATCCAAAGGCAGTAGCTTCTGTCAGCATGGGAATGGAGAGAGATGAGATAATTAGAGAAAGGAACCTGCTACGGGACCCTCTGATGAGGCAAACTGGAACAAAGATATATGAGTACACCGTTAGGAAAGAGAAGTCACAGCATCACCCTTAATCCTATACTCTGGATCCAAATCCACTATTTAGATATGTTAAAGACTACCCAATAAAATGTATGGCTATTAACATGTCTAAGGAAGGGGCTGGAAGAGTTCAAACCGTAAATGTCAAAGACCTCAATGCCACAGATTAGGTTTCGTTTGAAATACACTGATTCATATCTGTCAATTTTTTATAAGTCTAGCTATTCCCAACATATACATACAAACAAACATGCATACATTTATATATGCTTTCCTCTTGCCCTACACAATAAGCACCATTTCTAATTGTCAAAAAAACAAGATAAAAAACCCACCACCTGGAACTTGGCTAAACAAAATAGTACATCTGTAGTATGTGATATTACATAACCTTTCAAAGAACACTTTTAAAGAGTATTTAATAATATAGAGAAGCCAGGCAGGTGACATGTGTCTGTAATCCCAGCTACTTGGTAGGTTGAAGTGGGAGGATCGCTTGAGGCCAGGAGGTCAAGGCTAGCCTGTGCAACACAGCAAGACTCCCATCTCTTAAACACACACACACACACACACACACACACACACACACACGAATACATAAAGATATTATTAGGTATTCCTACCATGTGTTTAGAAGACAAGTGTAATACATAAAACATAACTGTTATAAGCAAATTAGCAACATTAATAAAAAATTACCTCAAAACATTTATTTTAATTTATAGAGATAGGGTATTCCTATGTTGCAGAGGCTGGTGTAGAACTCTTGGGTTCAGGCAGTCCTCCTGTTTTGGCCTCCCAAAGTGCTGGGATTACAGGTGTAGGCCGCTGAGCTCAGCCCTGCTCCCCCACCTTTCTAAAAAGAGACAGAGTTTTGTTCTGTCACCCAGGCACAGTGGTGGGATCATTGCTCACGATAGCCTTCAAATCCTGGGGTCAAAGGGTCCTTCTGCCTCAGTCTCTGGTATAGCTGGGATTATAGGTGCATGCCACCATACCTGAATAATTTCTAATTTTTTTGTAGACAGGAGGTCTGTCTTTGTTACCCAGGCTAGTCTCGAACTCCTGGCTTCAAGCAATCCTCCCACCTCAGTATCCCAGAGTTCTGTTATGGGAGTGCCACACACCTGGTTTTAAAAATTACATTTTATGAACTTTATATTACTTTACTTAAAATCAAATTCAGGGCTGTACAAATCTCTCGGTTGTCTGTATTCTGATTCCACTATCACAGTTACATTTCAATGGTATTTTGGAGGGGAGAGTAATCTATAGTTGTAGACACTCAGATTACTGAAGACTAGATGTTAGTTACCATATGTAAATGGATGAGATGAGAAACAAGAAAAACAACAACAAAAAGAGACAAAGAATTTGTGCTTCTTTCCCTGCTAAAAAAAATTATAAAGTTGTGCCTTTAAAATGGCAAAATCTACCTACCCCACACTCCAGAAGGGGTCCCAATAGGTCTGCATGGCTGATTCTGTTTGCCAGCTTCTGGATTCAAAGAAGGCTAGGAGAAAAGGGATATGAATGGTTGATACAGAAAGCTGATCATTCTGGCACTTTTCACAAAGTAGCCATCATCATGGAACCGATCAAATAATTACATATTAGCATTTACTAATTTAACACTGCATTCAGAATTATAACAAAAATATAGAAAATGTTGAAATGCAAAATCAATTATTATTATGCAAATCTTAGGTTCTAAGTTCCATTTCCTTTGATATAAGAGGGATTTTATTTTATTTTTTGAGTTGGAGTCTCACTCTGTCACCCAGACTGGAGCGCAGTGGCCGCTCCCGGCCACCGCAGCCTCGCCTGTTGGGCTCCAGCAATCCTTCCGCCTCAGCCTTCCAAGTAGCCAGAATTACAGGCATGCGCTACCACGCCCGGCTGATTTTTTTTGATTTATTGTAGAGATGAGGTCTCGCTGCCCAGGTGGGTCTCGAACCCGCAGGCTCAGGCAATCCACTCACCTCAGCCTCCCAAAGGCATGGGATTACAGGCTGAGCCACTGAGCCCAGTTTTATTTTTTAAATAAACAGACTAAATGTGCAAGGTCCCACCTCCTTTAGGATAGATATGTGTGCCAAATGAGGAGGCAAAGAAAGCTGGATGAACAAGAATGTGAATCATTTTCCTCAGATTTAAGGAGGACAATGTGGTTGGTGAAATGTACAGTATTCTCCCCTCATTTGTAAGACTGCTTTAGGGCAGAGGCAGACTATGTGCCAGGGACCGTGCTAGGAATACAAAGGCAATTCACATAATTAAGAAGAGTCCCTGACCTTACAAGAGTCACAATTTCACTACAAAGATCAATTGTAGACAAATAAGTACAATAAAAGGTTAGAAAGACTATGATAAAAATTCACATTAGGGAAGGAAGAGTACTAGGGCGGAGTATTAATTTCTCTTGAAAATGGTATCAGAAAAGGTTTCATTACTGGTGAATTTTAAGAATTCTTAAAGATGAATTCCAAAGCTGGAAAATGGGTGCTCTCAGGAACAGAAAGCTCAATTGAACACTGCTAGAAAAGCATTAAAAAAATAGAATATTTACAGATCACCATGACTAGTGCTAAGGGAGGAGGGGACCCTTCTGTGGGTAAAGAGAAATAACTGGCAAAGAAGGCAAGAGCCAGCTTGTGGAGGATCTTTTAGGGAGATTAGATTTTATCCTGCAGGGTAATGAGGATCCATCCATGCAGTTATGTGATCCAATCACCAATTAACAGTCACTCCAGTAGCAGATTAAAGGATGAATCTGAGGAGTTTAAACATCAACTAAAAGATCATTAAGGAGATCAATTCCATAGTCCAGGAGGGTACAAAGGCAACAGGAGTAGGGAAAGAGATGAGGGGGTGAGGGGGGAAAACGGAGAAGAGTTAAGAGCAACAGACTGGACTTAATCTGGTAAGAAGATGAGAAAATGGCTTTTCAGCATAACTTCCTGTAGAACAGTAGACAAATAACAAAAAGACACCCAGACTACTACAGAGCTTCTGAATCAAAATAATCTAGAAGGAGGGCCCCAACAGGTATGTATTTTTGAAACTGTCAAGGCAAGAACAACTCTAATACAAAAACAGCACAAATGCAAATCACACTACCAACTCACTATATTAATGGACAAATCAGTGATGGAATATGAAGGACAAATACATTCCTCTAGATGGAGTAGTATAGGCAAAAGGAGTTCCCACAGATAAAAGCGGTGGTTGTTTTCTTGTTTAATAGGCATATGTTCTTAGTTACACTGTATATTCTCAGATATACTGGCCCTATTTATGTAGTATCTTTGATCTCTTTCCACTGAGTTTTAAAAATGAAAGGTTTTTTTTTTGAGTTGGAATCCCACTCTGTCACCCAGCCTGGAGTGCAATGGCATGCTCACGGCCACCCCAGTGTTGACTCACTGGGCTCCAGCGATCCTTTCACCTCAGCCTTTCAAGTAGCTGGAACTACAAGCATGTGCTACCATGCCCAGCCGATTTTTGATATATTGTAGAGACGAGGGCCTGCCAAGTTGCCTGGGCTGGTCCCGAACTCGCAGGCTCAGGCAATCTACTGGCCTCAGCCTCCCAAAGTGCTGGAATTACAGGCTGAGCTACTGAGCCGGGCCAAAAATGTAGTTTTAAAAGTTTAACCTTTTGCACTGGGGGACATCTCACAAATCACTGACCAGCAACTCTCTTGCACTTTTTAACGAAATACTGAAAAACGAATCACTTCACATTAAACAGTATAGCGTCGGAATCAATTATTTTATTGTAATGATATTTGGCTTACAATGGAATTTGACATTGAGGAACTTATTTATGACAAAAAAATTAAAATTATATATCTTATATTTTTCTAACGTGGTAATGTGTGAAAGAGTCACCAGTATCGTTGCAGGTTCATTGATACATATTGTGCAACAGTAATTTGTCTGACATTTTTCCCTGGTGTTTTTTGATTTGAGCAGACAATACAGTCTCATCTCATTTTCTTCCTCCTACATTAATAATATGTAATTTATTGTCCAGCTTGTTGTTCGAAGATGATGTGGAAGAATACACTTGTGATTCCTGAAAACCACTTCTCAGCTGTTTGATCAGAAGCTTGACAAATCTAAAATGGGATATGGGATTTTCATTGTTTCTGAATGGAAAACTTCAAGAATACATACACTTTTGAAAAATTTGTGCTTGCATAGGTTTGTCCTGTTTAGTCACCAACAACCTCTTTGTACCCTGAGAGGGAACATCCGAGTCGTTTACTAGATTTATGATGTCCCCTCAGAGGAGACATCTGAATGCAAAGCGTTATAACTACTTTACATATCCCTATTTATGGTGACCACTGTGTTGTTCTTTATTTACTATCCAAGTGTGTATCTCTCAATGCTAGTTTTGTCTCCAGATAACACCTCAACTTTTAATCTACAAGCCTAAAAAAAAATCTTGTACCTCTGTATTGCCTATAAATTGGTAGCTAGTTCTAGAGGTCATAGAATCTTTTTTAAATTCTGGCAACACAACTTCTTGGTGGTTCTGTGTTCTTCACCATGAGACACATAACATCTGGTTGTGTTCCTTTCTGCGATATTGGCAGGCATCAATGCTCACAGCCTGAAACTACTGACTCAATACAAGAAGTAAAACAATGATCCTCTAATTTTATAATTCCTTCTTTACAAGCTAGTATACTTCCATAAGAATGAACCTCACCTTACCTACTACTTGGTGATTCAATGGTACAGCGCATATAGAAAAGGTAAGATACATGCTTGTTCCCAAGTGAGGCAAGCACCATTGTGAACTCAAGATCTAATCCTATCTAATGTGATTAAAGCACTTGCAGTTACTATCTTTTATTTTATAGAGTTGACGTCTCACTATGCTGCTCAGCCTGGTCTTGAACTCCTGGGCTCAAGCAATCCCCTCGCCTCAATCTCCCAAAGTGCTGGGAGCCACCATGCCTGGTCAGTCATTATCTTTAACTGATGCATGAAACTGTCCCATGTTTGGCCTATGGAACCCTCTTCAATTTGGCTTCTAAATTCCTGATACAACTCCAGTTGCCTTTCTTGTAAATATCCTGTCCAAACATAGTATTTCAAGACCACAACCTAGGGCTGCTTATTGCTATGAAATTGTTCACTGTTTTTAGGTCTTATTCAGTGAACAGAGCCTAGAAATAAATAAGTACTTTTCTCCCCAAAATTAAAATACTTCACAATTTCTTACTGATATCTCTAATTCAAACTGAGTATCTTGAGGTTTTTACTGAACACCTATGTTTACTTTTCTTCTACAGAGAATCTTGATTATTAAGAACACAAAGGATAGAATATCATATTCAATCACTTTACCCTATATTATGCACAACAGTTTCAGGATAGCAATGTCAATATTTCACCAATTACTAAAGTGTTTATTTTTAGACATGTTCTCCCCACCAAAAAAAGAGTCATATTGTATCTACATTGTCAGCTCACATAGCTGTTGCATGCTATAATCTCTTTTAACACTCATTTAGTCATAGTTCTACAACTAACTATATATTTAATATTCACAATCATTCCTATTGTTATCATCCTTCTGGCTAGTTTGTCAGAAGCTTGTTTTTAGCTTGTTTTTCTCAGGAAAAGTCCTAGAAACAGTATTCCTAGTTCTCACATATAGATATATGTCTGTGACTTTTTTTTTCCTGAGTTGGAGTCTCACTCTGTCACCTAGACTGGAGTGCAGTGGCCACTCCTGGCCACTGCAGCCTCGACCTGCTGGGCTCCAGCAACTCTTCCACCTCAGCCTTCAAACTAGCTGGAACTACAGGCACGCGCTACCACACCCGGCTAGTTTTTTGATTTATTGTAGAGATGAATTCTCACCAAGTTGCCCAGGCGGGTCAAAAACCCACGGGCTCAGGCAATTCACTCACCTCAGCCTCTCAAGGCACTGGATTACAGGCTGAGCCACCGAGCCTGGCTTGTCTGTGACTTTTGTCAGCTTGACAAAGCATATAATCTTCGGCTCACATTTTCCTTGAGTATTCTAATTATTACTCCATTCACTTCTGTTATAAAGTGTTGCTGTCACAGTCTATCTGGTTTTTTTTCCCTTAACAACTTTAGTCACTATGTCTGTATGCCCAAAGGATAGTTTTCTTTTTTGTTCAAGTCTAGTATAAAACCATGTCTCGGCTATTCTGGTTGTCCTTTCAATTTATAGATTCAAATCTTGTTGTATTTTAGAAAAATTTTCTTGCCGGGCTTGGTGGCTCAGCCTGTAATCCCGCGCCTTCAGGAGGCTGAGGTGAGTGAATTGTTCGAGACCCGCCTGGGCAGCGAGACCTCATCTCTACAATAAATCAAAAAATCAGCCGGGCGTGGTAACGCGTGCCTGTAATTCTGGCTACTCGGAAGGCTGAGGTGGAAGGATCGCCAGAGTCCAGCAGGCGAGGCTGCAGTGGCCGGGAGCAGCCACTGCACTCCAGTCTGGGCGACCGAGTGAGACTCC